AGGTATTTAAATTCTGTCACTCTTTCTAATAATTGACCATATAATTTCAAAGTCAATTGTTCCATTTTCCTTTTCTTAGTAAAAACCATATATTGGGTCTTTATTGTTGAAAACTTTAGTCCCCATTCCACTGACCACCTTTCAACTTCGTTTATTGATTCTTGTATTCCTTTTACTACATTCCCTAAGTTCCTACCTCTTTTCCACACTGCACCATCATCTGCATATAGTGCCTTCCCAATACTAGGTTTAACTCTTTCATAAATATCATTAATCATTATGTTAAATAAAATTGGACTGATTACACTTCCTTGAGGAGTCCCATTCAGAATATCATGCATTGTTGAAATTTCTTCCCCTATTCTAACCTGAAATGTACGCTTAAACAAGAAATCCAATATCCAGTTGTACATTCTCCCCCCTACTCCGATTTTATCTAGCTTAATTAATAGTCCCTCCCTCCATAAAGTGTCATATGCCTTTTCAATATCAAAGAAAACAGCAACAAGAAATTCTTTCATTGTTAAAGCTTTTTTAACCTCACTTTCAAATAATAACAAAGCATCCATTGTAGATCTTTTCCTCCTAAACCCACTTTGAGCTGATGATAAAATCTCATTTTTCTCCAAAAAATAATTTAATCTTCTTACTATCATTTTTTCCATCACCTTACATAATGTAGATGTAAGAGCAATTGGCCTATAACTACTTGATTTTGTTGCATCTTTACCTGGTTTTGCTACTGGTATCACTATTGCATTTTTCCACTCTTTGGGTAAGGTGCCTTCATTCCATATCTGGTTATATACATCCAGTATTACTTTAAAGGGGTCATATAATGGTACATGCACTTTTACAAGTTGATTGTACTGAAATGTGTGTTGGCAGTGTCTGTACACAACCATCATATAATGATACAAATCCATCCAGTGGTTTTGTTTTAATCTCCTTATATGTTTTCCCCTGTCTTAAATTGAGCCGTTCGTTTTTGTGACGTAAATAAAACGGACGCCCCTCCCACGATTGTTGATTGACAGCCGCGACAGCCGCGTTTCAACACAGACCCGCCCTCGCTAGCTGTCAATCATAGTCTGCGTGGACCGGCGCGGTCATTGTTGATATGCTGGAGCACTGTCTATGAGCAGAATGGCTCTAAGCGATTGTGGTGTTCTGTTCTTGGGTGTAATAACGAACACAGTCATTTTAATGTTCCTAAATCCGAACCGCTGAAGACGCAGTGGCTGAGTTTGTTTTCGAAGGGAATATTCCACACGAGCAACGTCAATGCTCTCATGCGCGAATCATTTCACACACCAGACTGCTTTATAAACGAGGATCAGTATAAAGCTGGGTTTGCAGAACTGAAGTGAGTGTAACATTTTATTAAACTTTATATTACTATTTATATTAATCCTTGTAAATCGCTAGCTGCATGCTTCACAATGAATGCGTCTAAGGTTTACACTCAGGGTACATTACGGCATGTTTTCTATGTATGACGTTCTCAATATAATGCATAATCCCACGTTTATACTGAACAACGCGTTATGGTTATGTGTTATTGTGTTACAAACGGTGTACGCCAGAGCGAGGCGGAGTCAGCAAAGCTCATTATCATTTAAAGGCATATACACTGAAACGGCGTGCTGAAAACAGAGCTGTTTTTGACCAGGTAAAATAAGTGTTTTCTTGCAATACTAATGAGAATTTTTAAATAAAGTATATTACAAACTTTTAATTTAGACCCTAAAGAATCATATTAGCTTGTACAAAAATGGCATTATATGACCCCTTTAATGGCTACATCCGGTAAGTTTTTTAACATACTATAGCTTATCATGTCTCTCCCTGGTGTTGTATCCTTTGAATTATTAATAGCAATTTTTAGCTCAAAGAGATTAAAATCATCATCCATGTTACTATCAACTTCTTGTTTTTTCCTACAAATATTCTCATACTTTTTATTTAACTCTTGTCTTCTTTTTAAAAACGTATCACTCAAGTTTTCAACACTATGGATTTTAGCTAATGTTTTGGCCAATATTTCTACCTTTTCTTTATCTGTTCTGGCCACCTTTCCATCTTCCTCAATTACAGGAACTTGTTTATGAGTATTAACACCATTCATTTTTCTTATCATTCTCCATACCACATGCATTCCAGTCTCTCTCCCAATTGTGTTACAGAACTCCTGCCATGCTTTTCTCTTTGCACTTTTAATTACCCTTCTTGCAGCTGCCCTTTTCTTCTGATAATCTATTACTGTATCTTGAGTTATTAACCTTTTTAAAACCCGGAATGCCTTATTCCTTTCTTTAGTTGCCACTGTGCATTCTTCAGACCACCATGGAACATTTTTCTTTCTTTTTCCATTGCCTCTTATTAATGGTATAGATAGGTTCGCTGCTAAAATAATTTCACTTACTATTTTTTTGTATCTCTCCTCAATATTCCCTTCCATCTTTATATTTTTGAAATTTTCTTCACACAACACACAAAACTCCTCCCATCTTGCCCGTTTAAATCCCCACCTTTCACCCTGATTAAAACTTTGCTTTTGTACGGCACTCTGAATCTCACAGACTATAGGCCAGTGGTCACTGCCCAAATTATCCTCTTGTACACTCCAAGTGCACTTACCTGCTAATGCAGCTGATGTTACTGTGAGATCCAAACATGACAAGTCGCCTTTAACGACATTCATTCTTGTTGATTTTCCATCATTCAAACATACTAATGAGTGGTCTTCTATAAATTCTTCTACTACTAACCCATTATTGTCTGTACTCTTACTACCCCATAGACCATTATGTGCATTAAAATCCCCACATATAATAACTTTACCTTGTGACTCACCCATCACATCTTCTAGAATACTATTATTTATTTCTTTACAAGGGTTATAAAAGTTTGAAATTCTAATTCCTTCATACCTCCCCATTACTTCTATACTTACACATTCTACATTATTACTTGTGTTTATTCTCTTATATATTATATTGTCTTTAATAAATGTTGCACACCCACCTCCTCTTCCAGTTACTCTGTCTTTCCTCTCTACTACATATCCATTGATCTTGAAGTCCAAAGAATTGTTTAACCATGTCTCTTGAATGCATATGATGTCTGGTGCCTTTCCCATTTCTGATATATGTTTTTTAAATTCTTGACCATTTGCTATTAAACTCCTAGCATTCCAATGTAGTAGTAGGAAAGACATCGTACAGCTAAGGATTATTACTCTGAGTCATATCCATGGCAGCAGTTCCTTCCTCTGCTTTCAAAATCCCATGCACCTCCTCTGCTGAAACTCCTGTTAACTTGAGAAATTTATTAGCACATCCTACGATAATCCTTAATTTGTCAGATCGCTTTTCCACTTGTGAAGTACCATTCACCACCGCACAAATGAATGCCACAAAGTCAATTTTGTTTACTGTGATATGCAGATCTGTCTCATTCCTCTCATGACTTACTTCTCTCTTAGAATAGGATTCCATCCTATTTCCTGGCACATTAGTTACCTTCGGTTCAGCTTTACTTTTGTCTTTTACCTTACGCATAGCTTCTGCATATGTTACATTTTGCATAGTTTTTATTTTTTGAACTTCGCGGGCTTCTTGTTGTACAGGACATCCTGCGTATGCTGCGCTATGTCCACCGCCACAGTTACAGCATTTAATCACTATGCCCTCCTCACACTTGCCATATTCATGTTCCCCCCACACTTTACACACCGCATTCTCCCTTTACAAAAATTTGCAGTATGTCCCATCCGTTGGCATTTGAAGCATCTCAAAGGTGGAGGTATGAACTCTCGCACCAAGAAGCTAACAAATCCTAGCTCCACTCTTGTGGGCAAATTACTCCCTTCAAACAGAATCATCACACTCATACTCTCACATTCTTTGTTGTCTTTCCACATTTGCAGTCTTCTAGTAGAGATAACTGTGCCTCCACTTAGATTTCCTTTAATATCATCCATACTTACATTAAGAGGTACTCCTGAGATAACCCCTCTGATTCCATTACCTATTTCTGTGCATGATATCTTTCCTCCTGCCAGCGTTTTCATTTTCAGTATTTTTTGTTTTTGCTTTTCATCCTTACATTTAATCATTATTCTTCCATTGTTTAGACAAGCTACAGCTTTCACTACTCCTATCTCTTTCTCAATTGCTTTCGATAATTTAACAGGATGAGTTTGTTGTTCTGACTGCTTAGCAAAAGTAATTATGACCTTGATTTCTCTTTCCTCTTCTTTATCAGCTTCACTTCTCGTTTGTTTTACTTTATTAATTGTTCGTTCACAATCAGATCCATCACCCATGCTGCTCTTTTTCTTCCTTTTATTATACCTTACTTCCTGATAATCCATTTCTTGTTCATTGTCATCATCCGATGTTTCTCCCCACACTTTCCTCCCTTCCGCCGCCATTTCGACGCGCGCTGGAGTCAAAAGCGTCGTCGGTTGATGACGTGTCACAGCGCCCCAGAGATCCAGTCGCGTCTCAGCGCCCTCGTCACCACCAAAATCCCCCTCCCCTTGCCACATCACTTCCTGCTTAAGATGGCTACCTTCAGGAAGTCCCCAAAAGGGGTGCAATTCTTTCCCTTTACCACCGGGGGGAGTACAGACAGTAGTTACATATAGCCATAACATTAAGTAACATTATTAATAGCCTTATGGCTCCTACAACGCCAAAGTTTCCTTTTCAACTGTCGATTAATTCCCTTGATGTTTATCAGACTTACGGGAGAAAAAGCACTGATGGTCCACATCCTCGCCGTCTAGAAGCAAAACTGCTCCAGTAACTCCATGTATCCGCGCTCGCATCAACTTACAACTCAAAGAGCGATCGAACTCAGAGCAGCCGAAACTGGGGCTTTACAACAGAGCTTTAACACTCTCAGATGCAGTCGAGAGCAACAGTGAGGAAAATATCATGATTTAACTTCTGTTTTTATCATAATGATGACTGAGATATACTGTGTTTCAGGCACCAGTGGAGTGGATCATGTGTTCATCAGTTCTGGTGTAAATGTCTCTCTGTCCTGTAATAAAACTCTTTCTGACTGCAAATCAACATCATGGATCTACTCTAACATATTCAGACGCTCAGGGAGAGTTGAACTGATTACTGGAGGGATAAAGAATAAAGACACAGAGAGACATGAGAGACTGAGTCTGGAGTCTGACTGCTCTCTGAACATCAAGAACGTCACAGAAGAAGAAGATTATGGATTTTACACCTGCAGTCAATATGTGAATGGAGAACAACAAGGAACTGATGCTGATGTTCTTCTGCATGTTCTTCATGGTGAGTTTATGATTATGTGGTCAATTTAAAAAGGGCAGATTCTCCCTTTAAACTCAGATCATGATTGAAGAGTCTGTGATTTGTGTTCAGTTTCAGTGTCTTCATCTTCATCAACATCATCATCATCATCATCTTCATCTTCATCCTCACAGACTGAGATCAGTCCAGGCCGCTCTGTGACTCTCTCCTGTCAGTTGTATTCATATGGACTCTCCTGTGGTTATTTGGTCAGTTCTGTGGGAGTTGAGCTGTTGTGGGTGAATCAGGCTGGTGTTGATCTGAAGACAGACTCCAGATATCAGATATTATCATCATCATCATCATCATATCCATCATCTCCAGATCACTGTATCCTCACTCTGACTACAACACTCCTGGATGAAGATGCCAACAGAGAGTGGAGATGTCAGCTTACTCAGGGAAAGCAACTCCAGACCTCAGTCAGATACACTGTCAAGTATTCAGGTGAGAAAACAGTGTTAGAAGAGCCTCATAATGTCAGGAACACTGAGGTCTATCAGTATCACTGAACCAGAACAAACTGAGGGAACAAAAGCTTCTCTGACTCTCACAGAAGAGGAACTCAAAGCATTGCTTCAAACTAATGAACTGCAGTGAAGTAACAGTCCAACTGTTCACTCTTTATGTGATGTGATGATCAAAGTGAAAATATGATGGTCATATTCTACAGTATTAATCATCTGAACTAACTTTAGATATTTTTCATGTAGACTAACTACATCATTCACTGTAGAGACATGAAAAACACCAAACAGACATAAAATACTGCAGTCACAACATTATCACAAACACACATGTAAAAGTAAACAAGTTTAACATATGTGACCCTGGACCACAACACCAGTCTTAAGTCGCACGGGTATATTTGTGGCAATAGCCAACAAAACACTGTATGGGTCAAAATGATCGATTTTTCTTTTATGCCACAAATCATTAGGATATTAAGTAAAGATCATGATCCATGAAGATTTTTAGTAAGATTCCTACCTTAAATATATCAAAACTTTATTTTTGTAAGTGGTTGCAGCACAATCGCCAACAGAAATGGAAACCTTTAAAGGCGATTTTCTCAATATTTAGATTTTTTTGCACCCTCAGATTCACGATTTCAAATAGTTGTATCTCGGCCAAATATTGTCCTATCCTAACAAACCATACATCAATGGAAAGCTTATTTATTCAGCTTTCAGGTGACGTATAGATCAGTTATTCATCAAGTGTCTTATGGTGTCTTATGACCCCAATATGAAATACACCGATTTAAATATCTCTTTTTAAATAATATTTTTGATCTTAAAGAAAAATAGTTTTCTCTGCCAACATTTTGTTTCTGTCTGACCGGAGAAAGTTTGTCCTGCCGTTCACTTTAACAGCTCAGATGAAACTGAAGAGGAAATGGCCGACTTCACTTATTCTTTACTCTAATGCTCAGTTCGTCTACTTATACTACGCCCTAAAAGTATTTACTCTTTTTGGGAAGAAACTAGTAGATACTTTTGAGTGTGTAGCAGAAGAGTACACAAGCTTTGGGACACACTATCACTTCATACAATCGCGTCTTTAACGGTTGCTCTCTTTCGTTTAGTTACACACATCTGTCACACAAACTGACCTGTCAATCATCTTATCAAAGACAAAATCCTCCACATTTAATTTCCTTCTGTATCGTAGAGAAATGCAGAAGCGTTGATCTGCAGTCGCGGGTCTGTCATGCGGAGACTCAACATAAACTCAATGTAAATCTCCTACATGAGCGTCTCTAAAGCAATCCTCATAATTCCTCATATTGGCGTCCTACATGGGTCACCCATGATATACTGCATAAAGCAGACGAGTCTATTAAAGCCTAGTATGACTCATGTAGGAGGCCGGTTTTAGGAATTATAAGGCTTATGTCACTCATTCAAGCTGAAGGTTTATTTGCAGCAGCTCAACTGTGTTTCATTCTCATATAAACCAGGAATAAATGATACAGTAATATCTCTCTTCTCCACTACTGCCATTCTCCTCCTGACAGCTTGAGATTGAAGTAAGAAGATAATAGATGACAGACTCGAGCACATATTCCTCATTTCTGTGATGTGAAGCTCCAGTATTATGTGATGATGATGTTGTGTATATGTGGCATTATGTGTTGAACTGAACTAACAGACGTGATCCACAGATCCAGCTGATCCAGCATCAGAAACTGCTGGATTATTATACAGAGGTACGACACGTTCATTTATACTGACAGCTTTATAACATTACACTATCAGTCAGTCTGTAAATGCTTCATCAAGAACTGTTGATAGATGAAGACCCTTGACTTCAGTCATGTACAGTTTCTCTTCTTCCTCTCATGTTTCCTGCAGTGATTGTGAGTATTGTTGAGATCGCAGTGTTTGCTGCTCCTACTGTGATTCTTCTTCAGATCATCTGTGCAAGAAGAGCTGGTGAGTTTGAGCCGCACACAATCTGAAGATTCACACTCATCTGATCTGAACATCTGCAATCATGAGAAACACATACGAGAGGTCAGGCAATGCTTTTATTTTGCAGGGAGGAAGGACTCGAAGCGCCCGGAGGAAATAGAGATGCCCACAATATTACAATAAAACACGGATGAGTTCAGAATCTGCAGCAATATTTACAATAGCAGAAACTCAGAGGATTGTTCATTGGTTTATTTTCTTCTCAGAAAACTCTGATCATCCTGAAGAAATAGTGACACCATCAAGTTTAGATTAAAATGTTTTTACATATAAAAGGCCAGATTTATTTTCATTTATATGGGTTTTATGGATATATTTGCCTACAGTGCTGAAAGTCATTTTCTTGAGCTTCATATGTAAACTGCTGTAAATATAATATTAAATACAGTAATGGACAGACTCAGACTGTATAATCGTCTCTCTGTTCTGTGTGATGGAGATGATCTGAGGATTATTGCATCTTGTTCATTCCTGTTTTTAGCATCTTTTTTGAATGATTACTACTAATATTCTTAATAAACCTCTGCAGTTGTGTTTAATATGTCTCCTTTCCTGAGATATTTGTTCCCCTTCATGAGCTCGTAATGTATAGTAATATATAAGTAATATGCTGGAAGGAGAGATCATTACAATAGTCCAGTCTGGAGAGAACAAGAGCTTGGACAAGCAAGTCCTAGCGGTCCAGTCCCACTGCTGTGTTTATGGGGCTCGCAGGAGGAGCTGGCGGAGGAGTCTGAGACGGATCTCTGTCTTTCTCAAAACTCAGCCACTCTCTCATGCCCAAACCAGAAGCATCGGCAGGCCCGTCCCATCCGGCAGAGAGCATGTTGTTGGCCCGGTCTATCTCTGAGGAGAGTTGAGACGGATGTTTTAAGCCTGTCTCCTCCCTCTCTCCAGGAGTCGGACATGACGGCCCTTGCCATGGCCGGTGGATACATAGATTAGATAGATTAGAGCAGGGATTCCCAAAGTGTGGTACGCGCACCCCCAGGGGTACGCGAGCTGCCACCAGGGGGTGCGCGAGAGGAAAAATATAATGGCGGTCTGTTTTTTTTAAGTGGGATTTTTCCATACAATAAAAAAAAAAACATGAACAGTAAACATTTCCTTTGTAATCGCTTTTATTTTAAATAAAAAAACTATAATTTATTCGTTTTTGATAGAAACGTAGAAGACAGCTGCTGTCTTCCCCTACGCACTGCAGCCGCTAGGCTATATGTCACGTGATCAACTTCTAAAATTCAAATGTGCTTTTGCGCGTTGGCTGGCGCTGAGCCAGTGCAGTCATAAATCACAACCATTGAGTGTTTTCAACCACATAATGTTTATTTTAGGTTTCAGACATTTAAATACTTATAAGTACTAGCAAAACAATGATTTTGATTTTGCTGATTTCTATGGAAGCAGCAATAATAATCCTTTTCATTATAATAAGACGACACGTTTTATTCATATCAGATACACATTGCGTAAGTAGCTTCACATTTTACCCTATTCTAAGGCCTCTTACTTTCATGTATTTCGTGAGAAGACGTGTTGTAAATCCAACAGATCCGATTCTCTGAACTGTGGCTCAAACTAACATGGCGCCGCCCATCGCGCATACAGCTCAACTAACTCGATCGTTTTGAAGGTGTTTAAACAACAAAACACATCCACTTACACATATTTGACAATCGGAATGTCAGTGTTTAATGCTATAGCTAATACCTTTGTGAATATTTTTGATAAAAAATGACATAAAAGCAGATCATCATTCATTCAGCGCTGTGTTGTGGTTGCGCTGTGTCACGTGACAAGCAATGACGCGTCACCATGGAAACATTAAAGTGACAAGTTCTAAATAATGGTCGCCTTGAAAAACTCACGCTGGGGGGTCAGTTAGAATAGTTTAAACTTACGTGTGAAAGGGTTAAAAGTGGAAGCTTGTGCGTAGCTTTGTTGCATTATATTGAAACTTTGTTGATGTTGTTATTGTCATGCGTGTTCTGGTTATTTGAGCATGATTAAACATGAGTCTTTATATGGCGATAAAACAAAGCTTTGTTGCGTTTTGTTTTTTTAAGTGGGGATTGGGGGTGCGCCAACCCGGTTGGGACATAGAAGGGGGTGCGCAGGAAAAAAAGTTCCGGGAACCACTGGATTAGAGGAGAGATTCCTTGCCAGACTGGAGGCAATTCCTGTTGCACACCATGGCGATGTTGCAAGCCTACCAGGCCGACTGAATGAAGGGCCTTATCAAGGCGAGGGAGTGTCTCCAGATGCAGTCCTGGAGCTCCGGCGCTCCACAGACCTCCTGAAGTCCAGAGCCATCGGCCGCTCTCTTCCTGCAATAGTTGCCATTGAGTGGCATCTGTGGGTAAACCTTTTGGGGCTCAAGGAGAAAGAAAAGTCTTCCGGGCTTTAACCCTCTGGGGTCCAAGGTGTTTTTGGGGTTCTTGAGATGTTTTGACATACTCTGACATTTGTGCTTTTTTCAGTTGCTTATAAACATATTACTGGCAATGGTGTAATCACACTCTATTTAGCACACACAGGGCTACCATAATGTGTTATCAACATGTATGTACATTTTTGTATTTTTGAGAGAATATTGTTTATGCGTGGTTATTGAAAAAACTAAAACTTAAAGTTTCTGAAATAAGGCAACAAAACACATACTAAATATGTGTCCACAAGACTTTTGACTAATGGATGTTGTTGCCTAGAGTTTTTTCTTCAAAATGATCTGAAAATCATCCTGCCTTATCATTCACATAAAACAATAGATTGGTTTAAATTTAAAAATGACACTTTTTGTTTGGAAAGGCAATATGCGCAGGGGTGTGACCTGCTGTGATTCACACCTGAGAAGACAATGGGCCCGCATAATGAGCGCATAATGGAGCTGCATACTAATGACCCTTTCATTCAGGTGTGTCACTGAGCCACAAGAATGCAATGACAATATATATATATATATATATATAC